ATTGACACCAATTGTGTTAATAATGTCTTATCATTGCTCCCAATGTTCAGGAGGAGGAAGAGGTTCACCCGATGCCAAACGAATGGCCGCTTTCAACGATCGTAAGTATTGTTTGAATTGATTTGCGCGACAATAGTGTGAAGCGAGTGATGATTAATGGTATGAATGGTTGGACACAATGACAGCAATCGGGGCTCAGTTGGCGGCTATGAAGCAGCAGACCTTCAATAAGCCGAATAAGAATCAGAGATATTTCGACGGAATTGTGATGAACGGGGAGAAGACCCTGGATATGATGGTTCCCGGGAGTAAAGTGGGATACGTTATCGGAAAGGGCGGCGAAATGATCCGCAATCTGCAGGAGAGGGCCGGCGTCCGCATGACTGTCTTCCAGGAGACCAATGAGCCGACGGATGTGGACAAACAGTTGCGAATCGTGGGTCCGCCCGATAAAGTGGATTACGCGCGACAACTGGTGAACGATCTCTTGACGGAGAAGGAGATCGAAACGGTGCGCCTGAAGACCAACTCATTCAATAAGACCAACGAATACGGCACTCAGCGCCAGAACAACGTGGAGGTGCCGGTGCCGCCCCAGTATATCGGACTCGTGATCGGAAAGGGAGGCGAAACCATTCGGCGGATACAACAGGAGAGCGGATGTAAAGTACAGTTCGATACGACGAAAGTGGACTCCAGTGGCAATAAGGTGTGCCAGATATCAGGCAATCCCGACGCTGTCAAACGGGCCGTCGATATGGTGAACGAAATTGTGGAAAACGCGATGCAAGGACGCGGTCCTCCCAAACACAGGGATGGCGATGAAGTCCGGTTCGGTATACCGGCCCACAGGACAGGCGCTGTTATCGGCAGAGGAGGCGATACTATAAAGGGATTGAAACAACAGTCGGGTTGTGATATCGAGTTGGAGAAAGTGACCCGAAATGGAGATCCCGATCAGAAGTACTTCTTAATCCGCGGACCGCCCGATAAGATAGAGTACGCGCAGGCATTGATCATGGATAAGGTGAACGGCACCTCCAATGCACAACCAAACTCGTCATACAAGTGAGCCATCAGTTTATATTAGTTTTTAATTACCGGTATTTGGTTTCTAAACATATGGTTTGGTTTGTAGTGATAATCAGTCGTCACACCAATGGCCCCAATATTGGGAACAATCGCAACCACAACAGGCGGAAGAAAGTAAGCAAACATTTAGTCATTTGATGAGTTTGTGTGTAAAGTGTGCGCAGATATTAGAGCTTAATTTGCGCCAATTCTTGCAAATTAGGTGTCAAACTGTGCGATAGCAGCCATCAGTAGATTTATACTATTTTGATTCACTTGACATATAATTTGTTTGAATTATGTATTAAATCTTATTGACATTTATCGTAATAATTAGGCAAAAGCCAGGACGCGAACTACGCCGCGTGGGCCGCCTATTACGCCCAATACTACGCTCAGTCCCAACAACAAGCAGCCACTCCCACCACCGCAGCCCCCGCCGGCTTCGGGTCCAACGCTAATGGTAGCGGCGCTGATGGTTCGGCCGCTGGTCAGCCGGGAGATCCATCTCAAGGGGGCGCCAATCAGGAGGCGTTATACAAACAGTGGGCTGAATACTACAGGGCTTACGGCATGATTAAAGAGGCGGAACAGATCGAGCAGATGATGAAAGGCGGACCGACACAGGTATGTCTGTCTGACGCATCCCTTTGTATGCATTGTTTGGTAATTGAAACGACTCTATAGCCGGGAGACGACAAGTCGGGGGCCGAGCACTCGGGCGTCAAGAATGAGCCAGGCAATCCCTCCGCAGTGGCATACCCCGGATATAATTATGCCAATTATCCGTCAAACCCATCGCAGCATAACTCGCAATGATTTATCGGTGAGTTTCTAATGATTATTGCGTTAATGATTGAGTTTGTGGTAATGATTTAGTTGTATTTTCTGATAGACTATTATTTGTTATGTTTTGAATTATGATTGCATTATATTTGATGAAAACCATTGCAATATTTGCATAAATAGTTGATTAGACTCTTTCAGATTAATCGCAATTTAAGCGACGGGTGAGTATTGAGGAGTGCTATACCGTAGGAGTGAGTTATCTATGATATCTGAGAATATAACTGATATTTGATTTGACATTTTCTATGAATTTATGACTATTATTGAGAATGAATTTAATTGATAGCAATGACTATGATTTTGATGCAATGATTTACTTTATTATTATCAATCATTTTAAACCTAAACCAAACTAATCATAACTATTAAGGTATTTATGACATGAAAACAATGCGATATCCGTTTATCTCTTGCAGTGAATTATGTGATGCCATGTATTTTGAAATTCAATATTACTCTCCATTTTATCATTTGATGATAACTTTCACATCACAAATAGTCTCATCACCTCTTAAGCCGACCACACGATCTCTATCTGCTATTATGTCTGTCTTTAGTCGCTTCCAAGGATTGCGTCGCCGCGTCATGGGTTTGGGAGCGTGTCATCACTTTTATAATTTAATAATTGGTAGTATTTGTTAACAAATTGCTTCAAAACTAAATCTCATTAATGAAAACGAGTTTTTTATATTATTATAATGATTACCATATATTATATGACTTTTAATGTGTTTCTTATTTTGAAAACAAAATTTGCTTTATTTGTACAAATATTTATTATTTAGGATTTTTGATTGAAACAAAAAATTTTCTCTTAAGAGCATGTCTTTTGTCCAAAAACGACAATTCAATGGTCGGGTAAGATATCTGATCTGCCATTCCTTTTCATTCAAACATAATTACCGTATATTTATGTTATGACTAATTTTTATTACCTATTGACATCTCTATGCATTGAATCCATTGATTTTAAACTGTATTTATAACTATTATTACTACTAACTGAACCTCTCTTTCATAAATGGACTTAAGTTTTTTGGATTAAATGTTCGCAAAATTGGTAATAATCTATAAAAATGATTGACAAAATAAATTGAATTACTTTTTGACGTCTAAATTATTAATGGGAAAAGAAGTCTTTAAGGAAAAGTTGCCATTAGTTTTACAATTGTCTTCTTTTCTCATTTTTATTCGTGTTTTTCTTGTTGTTTTTGAATAGATTTTAATTTAAATGTAATTTATATTTATAGACAAAACATGCATTTCATATATTTTAGTCTTTAAATAACTTACGAGGAATTTATACATTAGAGTGGACTCACTCTTAAATGACTTTCAGTTTTTTGGTTACAAAAGTATTTGAAGTAATGTTTTTTGTTTAACAAAAAATAACTTATATATTAAACTCGAAGTCTTTGCGGTCAACCCTCTGGTCGCTGGCGGACATCGGATGACCTGATTGTGCGATACATTAGTATTCTTTGTATAGAAATGTTTATATTATTCATAATATATCTCTTGATTTTCTCATTGATATGTCGTTTAAAGAGTAAGTATTTCTTTATATCTGAAGATATCTGAAACTCTTTATATAGAGTTGGTTTGGTGTCGGGGCTCACGTCCTTCTGGTTATCAATAGCCTCGAGATTGCGATGAACGGCGACTCTATTACTAGTGATAATACGAATGACACGATATATGTGATGAATATGTGGCTAATTGTGAAATATGTCTGCAATGTATGAAACCATTTATTAGTTGACTGTTTGGTAAGCAATTGATTGGTGAGACTCACGAAGAGATAGCTCGAGAAGTCGAAGGGATGTTCGCGACTGCCGTAGAGGACAGCCATAACGATTGGGTGAACCAAATACGCGCAATGCGTGAGTCGACTGAAAGGGACCCATACTTTGGCCGATAGGAAGGCGTTAATGAAGCCTCCATTGCCTGTAATGCAAGCGAACGTAACCCACGACAGACTCAGCGCCCAAATGGTTCGGGAGGTGGAGCTATACAGGGCTGCGATGTGTACTTCGGGAACATTGCCATTGTTTGCCGGAAACATAGCAAACAGTACTCCCAAACTGACCACAAATGAGATGATCCAACCCATGGTTGAGTAGAACTGCACAAACAGGACACCATTTCTGAGTTTACAATCTTAGCTATCAGTCAATTAGTTTGTGGTTTACTTTTTTCATTTTGATGTCTCCCTGAGAGGTGTAGATAGCGTACGCCAATAGGATTCCCACTAAATAGGGACCCACTCGGCAGTAGGGCTTTATGTATAAGAGTCGATAGTACTTGTCCACCACTGCCTGTTCACTATTGAGATAATTATGAGATTAGAGTTCATTATATGTTTTGCTAATAAAATACATACACGACATCATTAATATAAGGAACAGCTGGGAAGTCATTGATAAGTGTTAGGTAACCGGTCAGCCCCATGGAGCAAAAGAGGGCCAGTATTGCCAATGAGATGCCTAACACTGGCTTCAGGTATAACGGGACGAGAATTAGTGGCGACAAGAAGTAGAACTGCATGTCGACCGCAGAATACCACGAATGACTCAAACACTAGGGTTTCAATGAATTGTCATTTAGTTTTGTGACTTATATTTGCATTTGTTTGAGACACTAATGAACGGTATTCACCATATTCTGAGTGTTGACAAAGTTGTGTAGATATAGGCCGTTAACCCACCAATTCTTTTGACACCAACCGTTGAACATAGTTATCGATTCAGTCCATTGAGGGCCAGACCCCAAGTACTGTAGTAGAGTAGCGCTGAATGCGATGACAGCCATCATCGATGGTGTCATTCGTAGGTATCGGTGCAGATAAAAGAGGAAAATATTAGGCTTTCCGCTGTGTTTCTTGGCTTTTGTCATCACTACATAAGACACCAGAAATCCACTGGAAATGCAAAATGTATTCAATTGTGAGTACAGGGGTTGAGAGGACTGACACCAATACACGACTACTTTACCTGATAAAGAAGAAACAGTCGACAGAAAAGGTTCCGTTCGCTAATAACTGACTCATTATATTTTGGGGCACTTCTCGTATCACTAAAGGATTTCCTGTTATTAATGTGTTTTTGTGACAAAAATAAATTTTATAATTAGTATTTGTTTTTGTGGATCCATTGTCTATGCAATCGTCTCACTGAATGTCATCCATTGGACGGCGAATGCGAATGAGTGTCCGATTAGTATCCATAGCATAGAGAGCACACGTATGCCGTGAAATACTTGTATCGATGTGTCCGTGCCTTTCGTGTCGAATATTTTCTTAGCGTTTATTTTGACCGAAAACGAGATGAGAATCTCATAGAGAAGTGGTTTCGAGCTCTTCTCGTATGATTCAAACGATTTCTTCGTCTTCTGCGAGTCGGTGGTCGAGTGAAAGAGGAGTTCCATCTGAGAGTGACTTTCCAGTTGCCAGTGATCGCAGAGAGTGCCCGCGATTACCAGCACTAGTATGAGTCCAAACACGCATCTGACGGACGGACACAGCGTTTGATTTTAATTTTAAAGTCCTTTTAGCCAAACATTAATACTTAATATACATTACAATAATCGATGAAATGTCAGTCTCTATGTTAACATCACTTCTTTTGTAGCATTTATTTACAGAGACTTTCGACTCGCTTATCATCGAAGATGAGACTGAAATCAATGATAAGGACAATATAAATACCATTCATTGTATGATTTTTATCAATAAAATACATATGAATTTTGAATGAAAATTTTCGCAGCATTTAAAGTGGTGTTTGAATGGGATTTTTGGGATCAAACACCAAATGATTTGCACGAAAGAGTCATTTAAGGATACGATGCGATAAATAGGGTATCAAAGGAAGGGACAAATATTACACACACTTTTCATAGCATTAGGAAGTTTTGTAAATACTTTTTATTATAACACTTACTTCGAGTGAATATTTTGGACACGAATTGTGGCGAACAGGAGGACGGGATACACGTGCCTATCCTTACGGGAACTTTCGTTAAAATATTTGACGTTAAGTTTGTTATTTTCTGCGGACAAAGCAATCAGTTTGTATTATTAATGATACAGTATTAATGGATGTGAAGTACAAATAAATGGTTAATTTACTACAGAGTGAACTTTCTTTAGACTCAACCTAAACCCGCCGTTAACTTAACACCGGTTTGTCATGACCCAGAGCTTTAAACCGCGAAAACACAGTTATGTAAGTCTTATCTTCGGGTCTTACGAAAGGCTCATTTTCAAGATGCCTGAGTTGGGCCTTCCCATCGAGTCTATCACTGATAAGTGCATTCAAATTAGTATTTTAAAAATTATTTTGTTATTTAAAAATTATTTTGTTATTTAAAAATTATTTTGTTATTTATTTTGTAAAAATTTTCCATATAATTCATAGGAAAAGAGTTGATTGTTTATATTTTTATTGAATTATGACTATCAGTGCAATGTTATGAGAATTGAATGAATGACTAGAATTGAAAGATTATAGTTATTTAATAGACAATTCGTTAAATTGTGATTTCAATGTCACTGTTGGCATGATTCCTGTTTTACTTACGTTTTCATTTGAGATATTTCTCTAATTTAAACTATTTTACAATAGTTTACAATAGTTTTCAAATGTTAGGAATACCGTAGTTTTTACTTTACTCCAGGCTATAAAAGCTCTTAACTTGTACTAAGAAATACTGCCATAAAAGGGGAACTCTCGGTCAAGACTATGCTCTCTCTCTCTCTCTCTCTCTCTCTCTCTTCACTTTCATTCTCGACACTCGATGGCAAACAATGAATATAAGACAAGTAAGCCGTTCGCCACACCCACACCTTCACCACCAAAAGCAGTACCGATGGACAGGTGAGGCTGAGGTCTCGTAGAGTACAGAAGAGATCACTGTTTTGAATACAACACAATTCGGTTGCGATTATCCCTCCATCTCGAAGACCCCGACAATTGAAGCGCTCTTTTATAATGAGTTCAATAATGTCTGAAAGTATTACCAAAAAGACTCCCCATTGAGAGTACATATAAAAACATTACAGAAAATACATTCAATTGACAATCCAATGGTCGACACAGTGATCGACATATACTCTTGTGTTCAATGTCTTCGACCTTTGCTTATCAATAGGCAATGCCTTTGGGAGGAGGTGTGGGTGGGGTGTGGTTAAGGCGCCTCTTAATGAAGACTTAATTTTCTCTTCATTTAGCGATTTTCATAAAACAAGTATTAAATGAGTGAATGTTTTACATAAATGAGAATAAAGATAATAAGAGCTGAGAGTGAAAAAAGTGAAAAAAGTTAAGACCGGGAGCTTCTGGTGACCCATTTTGTCGGCAGACACTCCGCACTGAAATGCATTCATTATATACCGTATAATAATATAAAAGAAATACGTTTTAAGAGAAATCGAGGGAAACAACAACTCAAACAACTTTCGCTTTCTTCAGATCTCGAGGCGAATCATATGAATGGTTGGGAAATAAAAGCCATAGTTTTGTGTTTTTATTTGGCATTCGCTTAATTCAGCGCTAATTTTATATTGAAAGCAAAAATTTTTGATAATTTTTATAAAATTCAATTTTTTCAAACAAGAATTTACTGTCGCTACTGATTTATGTAATATTACATAACACGAATGATTACATAAATAAATAAAATTATTTCTAATCCTAATGGAAAAATATAGAAACCATTAATTGCCAACCATTTCCCAATTTGGGAGTACAGGTGTAATCCCGGAGCTAAGAGAATATGGTGAGAGTACTACCCCTCTGATCATTGCTTACAAGATAGAGATAATTTGAATACAAGTTCAAGAATAACGATCCGATTATTAGCTTTTATAAAGTTAGGGAAGTTTGCGACGAAAATGAACAAAATTGACACAAAAAATAAATTACTAGTGATTTGATTAGAAACAACAAAAATCTTAATGAATATACAAAATGATTGCTTACTCTGATTGGCCCATAGTTTGCCTTTTTGTGATTCATTAATAACTTCCATAATGTCTTGAATGCAATAAACATCAGACAAACTATGGCTTTGAGTCTTATTCTCTTGAATAACAGCATCTCTTAAAACATTTAACGTGTGGTTCACATAATTAAACCAAAAACTTTTCACTTCATTATCGAAACCGATGGGAACACCACTCAAATGATTGACGAAAAGTGTGAAAAGTTGTAATATTAACAACAATTTTGAAGTACAGACTGAAGGCATGACTTGATATCGCAGGAAAACACAACACTCTTTAGAATGAAGAAGTTTTCAAAAAGTTTTTCATCAAAAAGTCGATTAAAGAGAAAGTGATGTTTAAGATCAATGAGTCGGTGCTTATAAATGCCGAGCCATTAGTGGTACGTACTATAAAAACATATATTTGCGTGTATAGAGAATGGACAGATATATATAAGTATATATTCATAAATTTAGTAGCACTGGGAGCACAGGTAGAGACCACTCAGCGCACGACGTGACCGCCTATATGTTGAATCCATTCTCAGCCTCTCTTCTCCCAAACCTAGCCTTACGTCACGACAACTCTCATCGAATTAGAGAGAAATGAAATCAACATTTTTTCCACAAAACAATCTTTTCTCATAAAAACTTTATTTTATTATGTTTTTCAAGTTATTCCTACTTTTCCTAAATAGAAATATTTATCATTTTTGAAAATTAATTTCTATATTTTTTGTTTTGCATATTAATTAATAATTATTAGATTTTTCATGTCAAGTTGTTTTTAATGAAATTTTAATGTAATATTTAATTGGAGAGTACATTATGGGTTGTCGGGTGGTGGTGGCAATAAAATGAAATCATATTACAGACAGTCGTAAAAGTGAAAGTCAAACCTGTGGCCAAAAAGTCGAAAGTGAAAGTTCACTGCAAGGCATACACTTTGCAAACACATCATGCAATATATGGGTCAATAGACTAACACCACTGCAACAAAGCTTACAAAACTCTCCGACATAATTGGCCACAAAATACAAGTGCTCTTCTCTTCTCTTGAATCCAATCGCTATATTCGCTAACTTTCCTTCAAATGCTTTTACTTTTCTATCTATTAGTCATTAATTAAGTAATGGATTAATCGTTTAAATGATAACAAATTTCTAACACATTATACGCAAATTTGTACGCAAACTGATAAATGATTTGATGATTTCACTTGAAATTTAGAGTTGATTAACAAAATACACGGAAGGGTATGCACTCGCATAATATGGTGTGATTGGAGGGCCACTTATGGTTGATATCGGTATTGATTGCGGGAGTGTTTTACTGACTCGTGGGTTATCTATGAGAACAATACCTAACATTTGTTTGAAGGCTAGTAGTGTGTGAAGTCAAGGCAGTTCATCACTCAATCGTATCAATCGAGGCCTTCAAACAGCAATTAATGTAATTATTGAAATTAAAGCCTACCTCCCAGGTCTTCATGTCTTCATACCAGTGCAGTGAACCTCTTTTTTATACACATTTTACATACTTTCCGCACTTAAACATGAAGGACAGTGTTTGGTTCGGAGCCAATCAGTTATATTTATATGAATGGCTATGAATATGTGATAATCATATATCCTTTATTAATGAGTTATGCATTTATATACATTTTAATACATTTTTTTACTCGTTTATGAGAAAGTTTTCCCGAAATTTGTAAAATCAATACTCATTTAGTGTACTATTTATAAATATATCTCTTCTTGAAAAAAATACCATTAAAATTAAGTTTTATTTTTTTATATAAAATAAAAATTATCAAAATAATCACAAAATTATTTTTTATGAATTCATATGATATATATTTAAAGTTTGTCAAAATTAACTCACGAACCAAGAGTTACATAACATTATATTACATTATATTTTACGTAATCTTAATGTACTGTATAGTGTAATATGTTTAATATATTAATCAATTAAAATATTTTTTAATTTGTAATACATATCTGACAATTGCTGAACAGATTTGTGTAAAGATTTGAATTTTGATTTTAAAAATAAAGTGCAATTTATTTGTGAAATACTGACTATAAATCCTAAAGGCTTTCTAACAGTTAAGATACTGTATAAAAAACGGTGATTACGAATCAAATACTGTATACTGTTTTAACACAAATCAAAATATGTGTTAAGGTTTCAAAGAGTTAACACTTTCGCTTCAGGTTCTGCTGATAGAAGTGATTATATTTGTGTGACATAATAATCATGACATATATATTACATTGACTAATGATTTATTAATTACACTGTTTATACATAGCAGAGATCACAGGTCTTCACTCCTGAGGGAATAGAGGGTTGTGTCGGACGGTGAGTCTTATTAGATATCATACACTTTGACACCTAATGCCGCACAACACCTCCAATCATGTCATAAAGCTCTATAAAACCTAGTTTTGAGAATTATCAACATAACTTACCTACAAGTAAAGTGACCAGAATTATACTCTTGGACATTTCATTAGACAAATACCGACAAACCAGGTGTTCGTTATTATTTGGACCATAGATTCAAAATTAATATATTTTTTCCCTTAATGTTTGAGCTAAAAATCGGGGGCAAAAGGCTATACTCCTAAGCGCTCCCCCACTGCACATCATATATAGCCAGCGCTTTCCTAATCGCCAAATCATAGGATGAATTGAATTGAATTGAATTATAATTTCGAAATTATTTAAATTTCTTTTATTAGAAAATAGTGAAGAGTTGTTATCAATGGTAACACAGTTTCCACAAAATTAAATACTTTTTTCTCAAAGTTTGTTCAAAGGAAAGAAGGATTAGATTTAAGGGATTTCTCGTTTAGTTTTATATAACTGTTTAGAAAAATGTGATTTTCTATTTCAATATGAAGTGGGAATTGCAGATAACATTGATTTTTCCTTTTACCGTATATTCAATTCGATGTTAAAGCTAATAATTTGAAATATGAGTGAATTATTTGAATGGTTATATGAAGTTATTTTCTACTTTTATTTGTTTTTTCTAAAAAGTCCATTGAATAC